TGAATGTTGCCTTTACCTGCTGCCTTAGGAGACTATACATGCTTGTGCAAGCTGTTTGAGGACCAGTGGTCTGCTAAAGGCCGCCTAATGACGGCTTTTCTTCCCCCAATTTAAAGCCTGTGGGTCTTTCCGCATGATATCGCATCTCCACTTTTCAGACGCGATTTCCAGAAGATAGTTCAGCACTCCAAATGAATTATGAATAATACTTGTCATCACTATGCTTTGGCATGACTCGCGACTCATGCCCTAAAAAGGGAAGCTTGCTAGCCATTCTGTCATATGATGATTTTTATGTGATTGACCGATCGGGGACATACTTGTACTCAATGTAGAACAGCTGAAGTTTTCTTTTGACATCGAATGTTCGAATGAATGTTTTTGAATATTCGATTATTCGAATGACTGTCTTTCAGGTTGCTCGAATATTCGAATATTCGAATAACTGTCTTTTGAAATTCCTCGAATATTCGAATATTCGAATAACTCTTTTAAAATTCCTCGAATAAACGAATATTCGAATAACTCATTTTTCCACATCATCGAATGAACGAATTATTCGAATACAGGCCTTTCTCAATTATTACTATTCGAATAATCGAATAATTGGACTTCCTCGAATATTCGATTATTCGAATATTCGAATAGTCGAATATTTCGAATAAATTATTCGAACACGAATATTCGGTTCTAACTATAGTAGACGTTGTCCTCCAGCTCGCAGAAATTCGACGGAAAGATGGTCTGGTCCTGGAGCCGTGGACGTCTTCATGGTCTGAATCGCTGTGCGCACTTCAGCAGGTAGAATTCGTGGTGGTACTTCACCAGTGGGAACAACGGGCATCGGCACGGGTGTTGATGAGCGGAAGAGGTTGATATAGAAGTTCTTCGCGATAGATTCCATTTTGTATCGGGAAGAAGTCGGAGTCCCGTCTTCGTTCAATAGTGCAGCCAGCGGTAAGCGATATTCACAGAGGCCCTTCGGCACCCTTGAGACTTCGTCTTCCTTCGGCTGCTTCCAGTATCTTGGCTTGCCTGTACTTCCTGAGATCCTCCTGCAAAGCTGTTCTGCAACTGGCGTTGGCATCAGTCGCTCGAGATGGGTTGCATTCGGATCCTGCCTCAGAAATCTTCTTCTTTCAAGCATTTCCTTGGTGGTCTTCGAAACGCGTTCAACATACTTCTCGCAAGTCACTGAGGCGCACTTCTCGCAATCCTTTCAGAAGCCGTTCGTAGTCGTACGTTGGGTCCTCCTCCATGGGCCAGTCACAACTTGATATGAGCTCCTCCAGCCTGTTACCGTCATAAACGACATTCTTCCTTCTTGCGGCACTGTGGCAGACCTTCTTTTCCAGCCTTCGACTGAATCGTACCTTCGCTCGAAGGAGGCGGTGACCGGAGCCACTGCAGAAGGATGGAACTACTGAGATATCGAGCAAGCTCCACCTTCGGTTGGTGAGAATGTGGTCGATCTCCGCGTGGGTCGTTCCGTTGGGCGATTCCCATGTCCACCGGCGATGTTCTTTCTTCATAAAGATGGAATTTCCATGGAAAAGTCGTGCGGCGGAGAGAAGCCCAACAAGACGGTTGCTGTTTTCGTTCCGGAGCCCATATCCAAACTTCCCGATCCTATATTCCTTTTCCAGTGGCATCCCGATTTTCGCGTTGAAGTCGCCCACAACAAACTTATAAAAGGACTTCTCGTTGCGGGCGACCTCCTCCACATCTTCGTAGAAAGCATCTAGTTCTGATTCGTCAGCTGCTGATGTTGGAGAATAGCAGTTGATGATGCTGATGGTCTTCTGATGTGGAGGTCGTAGTCGTGGGATGCCTAGTCGAGGTGATAGATCTCGTGCGAATCGACAAGATGGACGATAGATGGGTGGACGACAAAGCCGACGCCTCCCACCTTTCCTGATGGAACCTTTTCACCACGAATGACGAGGGTCCCATCACTCATCTGTCGCACGTCCATCTTCCTGGACTTCGTTTCCTGCAGAGCGATGATGTGGTAGTTGATGTGCTCTGCAGCGTCGAGAAGAGCGTGTAGGTCGGCGTTTGTGGAGACTGTCCTGGCGTTGTAGGTGCAGAGCATGAGGCAATCTTCATGGCGTGTCGTCCGGGCAGACGTGTCGTTTTTGTCCAATCCGAAAGGCGCCCTGAGTACCCTGACATCGTTCTTGCTACCACCCGGCGCCGTAGGCGGGATCCGATATACAGGGTTTTTTCTAAATCTTCTTGCTGTCTGAGTAATAAAATTTGTTCCCCTACAAGAGGTGGCTTACTAGGCCTACTCTTGATTTCCACGGGGCCATCGCTGACCCCGGGCTTGGAGCGGGGAGAGACCGCCTAGCGACCAGAAGAAGCCAGACGGCGGAGGATCTGGCGTGGCCAGTTCTTAGCTAGGCATCCGGCCGAAACCGGAAACGTCGAACTCCTTCACAGCTTGGGAGGCCCTACCAGAGTATACACTCGGCTGTGCATCGCAGTTCGACACCCAATGTCACCCCCACGCCACGATGAGGCGACCGACCTTTGTGGGGGTGACACATTGTCACCATATAAAGCTCAAAAATGCACACTGTCATTAGTCGAAAAGATGTTCTCACCTGTTTGTGCTAAGGCATTACAGTAAGTGCCTGCAGACCATTTAGAGTGCTTTTAACTCGCTCTCTACCGGATTTGAACCATCAACCTCTCGCATTCAATGTCAGCAAGTAACCATTACATTACTGCACCACCAACGCACATAGCAACGCCCTCAAGCTCAAGGGGCGCCACCAAAATAGGGTGTTCAGGCTTCCATAACTCTCTTCAGAAGAGCGTTCCGCAGAAACGGGAGGCAGATTTGAAATCAGCGTTCGAAGCTGCTTCAGATGATATGCATCTCATATCAAACAGCCGCGGCCATTGAAAGTACTTCCCTTCATTAGTCACACTAGCTAGATGTTACATACCGATCTTCTTTTGCCACTCCAATATTAGAAGGATCAATCGCCCACGTGCTCCAATATGCCAATTTGCATGCAACCTGCTGCTTGGCAGTTCGGGCGGATTCGGGCATATCGGGCGGGGCGGGGTTACGGCGCGGTCTGAACGATCCCGTAGAATTATTGGGCAGACCCAAATTTAACCCATAAACACGGGAGGGCTATGTAAGCTACTTTTATTGAAAAAATCGATGGTTTCTAATATTGAACTGCATCTTCCCTCTTCGGCTCGAGTATGACTCGTAGAGGTATATGTGAATGCTGTTTAGGAATAAAATCTGCCGCTCTTGGGGGGAGGGCGGAGGCTTTCAGTTAGTACACCATATCCATATGCTAATGTCGGAATTTTCTAAAGAAATCCACGGCTTAGCAATAAGTTAACGAGATAAAACACGACAAGACCAAACATCGCCGAAGTCGCTTAGCGGCATTGAAGCTGCAGGTCTCAACTAAGAGAGCTAAAAAGGTCTTTCCGTTTTTGATAGTTAAATGGGAGCTAGTCGCTGTAGCACTGATTGTTTACTGTAACTCTCTTTTCGGTATAATGTTAAAGAGAGCTAACAATCTTAGCTTTGGTTCCTCAAGCGTTTGCTTCTTTGTATAGGCTAGATGAGGGGCAGTGCATATCTTACAATTTTCGGCTGTTATTCCATGAGAGGCACCTTTTTAATGCCCGATCCTGTAGCCGTTAAGATGTGATATTAAATCCATCTCAGTACTGTATGAAACAAAGGTGACTATATCTCCAACTGGTCTTATTTATTTTCATTTATCAATTTACTGTATGCACTTAAGGTGCCCTTTTGAAAAAAAAAGAACGCAGAAATACGAACATAAAGTTCCCATAGACTTCTCTGGATTTATGCCAGACTTTGTTTAAGAAATAGGAAGGAACAAACAGTAACGCTGATTAGTCGCTAATTTACTTATGACGGAACTCTCACAAGGGAATGATACTTGGTCGAAGTGGCGTTTTCATATGAAACGTACACTACCTTATAGAGCATGCAACGCTGATTCCAAATCTGCTTTCGCCATCTGCGAAGCGCTTCTGGGAGGGGAGTTCTGAGAATTTTTTAAGGTAAAAATTCAATGATTTGACCAAAACAAAAGTAGGTGTTGAGGTCTTTCCGGCGCTCAAAAGGAGTAATAATTGACATGAGTTAGTTGAGTTAAAGGTCCTTGTTCTATGAAACGTCCATGTAGTAATTATGGGCCCACTTGAGCTCACAGACTAACAAGGGAAGTCACTTAACTTAGGTCGGGCTTTTGAAATGAGACACATATATTTAGAACCAGCTCGGAACGCTGATTCCAAGTATGCTATCCTTAGCTGCGAAGCGTTTCTCTGAAGCGAGTTATGAGCTTTTTTAGTATGTGGCACTGACATACAACTAAATATGGAAAGAAGGTCTATGGATGGAAATCTGTCCAAAAAGTGGTGGAAAATCAAAATAACATCAAATTGAGTCAATTGGCTTTGATAGGGTATAATATGCATTTGAATCACTACCTAGATGATGATACCGTAGCATACCTAAGTCGGTCAACACGCAAAATTTGCTCAGGAAAAAGCTCATAACTCGCTTCAGACAAACGCTTCGCAGCTAAAGAAAGCAGATTTGAAATCAGCGTACCAAGCTGATTCCAACCATATGTGTCTCATTTCCAAAGCCCGACCTAAGTTAAGTGACTTCCCTTGTAAGATTCTGATAGATTTTATTGTGGCGTCGCTTTCAAATCTTTGCACTAAAAAATTATCATAACTTCCCTTCCAGAAGCGCTTTGCAGATACCGAAAGTAGTCTTGAAATCAGCATTCCATGCTCTGTGAAATGATAAACAATATATATTCAAACGCCACTTCGACCAAGTGTCCATCCCTTGTCAGTGCAGTTGAGAGTAACGATGAAGTCTAAAAAATTTGCATGTATGAGATGTCTGTCTTGAGATTAGCCGTGGAACGCTTATGAAGCGCTAAGTCTGATGTTGTTGAGCAATGAAGTTGCAGATAACTTCTTCATATGGGGACGAGGGATCAACGATGATGGAATTCGAGTCAATGACACTGTCCCCGTCTACGTTGATAATCGGGAGCCATCATCAGAACATGAAAATGACATCAAAGTCAAAGTTGTGACAGGTGCCTTTCCCTTTCTTTATTGAGTTGGAAAAGCTGAAGTTTATATTTGAAGAACATCGCCCCGCTACCATGGTGTTTCAGACTCTGGTCTTGAGTTACCTGTCCGCCGAAACAAAGAAGGCTTGCGATCTACGTTTATTTATACACCTACAAGCACAGGCAAACACCTCGTATACGTGACGAATAACAACGAACCTATAGGCCAATCACCATACAAGGCAAAATCGCTTCTTGGCTATCTCATGTAAAAAAAGAGCTGAATTTTTAGGTAAATATCTCGCCACCAACAAACTCCCGTGTCAGAGCATTTGGACCTGGATTGGAAGGTGGCGTAGCCGAGCAGCAAGGCGTTTTCAGTGTGGAAACAAATGGCGATGCGGACAGGCTAGGTATGCTGGCGTAGTCTAAAATTTTGAATTTTCTTTGGCCATTTGGGGTGAAATTATAATAGAAGGAAGGCTCAGCAAAAACTATAGTGAAGTCCTTTCTAAAAGCCCATAATGCCCAAAATAAACTGCTCATCGTACACCGTAGAATACAAATTGCATTATTTTAACGAGTGGTGTACTCTGCGCGGACTAATTATTTTGGAAGCCGATAATGATTGGTACATTGTACTAGGGAGCAAGATTTAGAGGTTTCACTAAAAACGTTTAAAAATGCATTGGGTGTTTGGTTTTCAATGTATGATCATGAAAAAGGGCTCCGCACAAGATGGCACCAGGAGAATTTCAAAACGAAGTCCCCCTTTGGTCTTGAAAATTTCGTACGAAGTCTCCTTTGACCCTAAACCCTGAACGTAAAAAAGCCCTTAAAAAAGCGAAACGTCGACTAAAGAAACGTCGCAATTTTCGTGTCACCTCGGCCACAAAAAGATATTTTGCTTTTTGTCTCAAAAACAATATTCAGTTTGACCCGGTGCCAATTGTGCCGAATTCTGTTATGAAACTCAAATAGCCAATACTAGCAATGACCGTCCCCGTAAACCAATGCAGGTAAAGTGGCAACAAAGCGGTAGCAAAGTTGGAGAGTGAAATTTTCGGTCGAACAATAGGAAAATGGCCAAATTTGAGCCCTTTGAAGTACTTTTGAGCCTAACTCTGAATACCGTGCTAGATAAAGGGTGACTTTCTGGCGGTCTTCATTGGTTTATTTTCCAGCATTCTCCATTGAGGGGCCGAGTAAAACCGAAATTGTTTGCCAAGATCGCGGACAAGGTGCAGCACTTGTTGCTTATACGGTAAATCTATTTGAAACAAGTATGTTGGTGAGGTGTCACTCAGCTGCTGCATTCAGCCGAAGGAACCGGGAGTGTATAAAGTCAATGTCCTAGCTGGCGGTGACCATATTGTAGAATCCCCATTTGTCTTGATGGTCGATCCACCTCATCCTGGTTTCCAACCGTCGGCAGCTAATCTAACAGGGCTGGAGCCAGAGATGCAATTCGCGCCTGGTGAAGCCATACCGTTCCGAATTGATACACGGAACACTGGAGGTGAGTGAATCGTTCTACTCTTCTGGGGAAACTACTTAACCTACGTTCAGTGGTGGATGTTGCACCTCGAGTAGAAGTTCTTGACAAAGATCTCGCACTATTACCGATAAATGGATCTCAGATCAACCCTGGAATTTATGGTTACAGCTTTACACCCAAGAAAAGTGGAAAATATCATATTTGCGCTAGCCTTAATGGTGTGGGAATTCCTGGATCTCCTTTCCCGGTGTGTATCGAAACTGCTAACTTCTTTCGTACACTTGATTAAATCATTCAGGTGAACATTCGCGAACCTGTGGACCTCACAAAACTGAGAATATTCGGACCTGGTGTTGATGGTCCCGTTATATGTCAAGAACCAACGCATTTCACAATCGATGCTCAACAAGCTGGACCTGGTGCAGTAGAGGTATGTGAGAATACTGAATGTGCATCTGTTAGAAGGCTTTTCATCTATGCGGTCTTTTCCAAGAATATTTTCGTGGCCTCTTGATATGCTCTGTCGCTCGCGTTTCGTACCATTAGAGAGCTTATCGAAACTTTATATGTCCTACAAATGTTATCATCTAATACATAGCGGATTTTCTGTTGTTAATCACTCCTTCCTTGCGCTGCTGCACTGTGTGTTTGAGATTTTCAAATCAAAAATAGCATCAGAACTTCTGCTTTTGTATTCACATGATTACTGCGCAAACGTGACTCTTTCGTTGCACAATAGTTTCAATGCTTAATTACAGACGTGATCTTCAATTCATGTTAAAATCTGGTATTGCCTCTCTAATTTGTAGCATTAAAATTAGTGTCTATCTTTAAAGTTCTGCTTTTGCGCTAAAATATTTTGCTAGCGTCTGTCTTATTTGTCTGAAATTTCGCGAGATCATTATTCTATTTTACATCATAGAAATACTTTACTGACTTCAAATGTCTTGATATCTTATCTTCAAAAGTATTCCCTCCTTGTTGTTTTGGACTTCTATGAACCATAGAGATTGGCTGTGCGATTGGCACGTGCAACTAGTGCTATGAATATAGTAGAGAACCTTCTCGATGTAACTCATAGTTTATGCAGTCATTATCATACGTTTTGAACCGAGTAGCAAAAAATGACCAGAAATGCGGCGACGTCCACTTGTGGCTGCTGTGCGCTGGATTTTCGAGGTAATCGATTGATTAAATTAGGTTAAGATAGCTGTCTTTGTTGCAATATCTCGGGTGAGTGAAGGGTATACGTAGCTTAGATCGGTTTGCATATGGTAGATCAAAATAAGAATGTATACAATTTATCATCATACTTTTGATATATTGTTTTGCAACATCAGAGTGCGCCTTCATAGGCTGAATCATTCAACTCTGCTTGATCCACAATTTTCAAAACTTATTATTTTTATCCACTAGGTGGTCATTCCCGTAACAAAGCGTTAAGTCTCCCAGGGCAGCAGTCAATGAGCTCAGCTAGGTTGTTTCTATCTATCTCTAAGGATGAGCTACCAAATGTCTTTTGAAACAGCTTCTCAGGTAAAATTTTTCAAAAAAAGTTTACATTGCGATAAAACAGTAGCTAGGTGACAGACGGAGCTAAATGACAGTCATGTTAATTTTTGCTCTCACTGTGTAGATACTTCGATATAACCGCAAGAGACAAACCTGATTTTCTAGCTATGCAGCATTCCCTTAGGAAGTCCAAATCTTCTAAATGCTTTTTTGTAGGAGTGAAACAGTAGAAAATATTATTTGCTAACGTGTCGGACTAGTGCGTTCCTGCAACCTCCTCCAAAAGTTGGAGGTTTACAGAATGACTCTACTGAGTCTCTGGGCGATCAAAGTAATGAAATTGGCTACGTGTGGAGTAGTTGCAGTTGCGCTACTGACTTACTTTGAACGCAAACTAAGCATATTGTCAATTGCTGAGAAAATCTGATGTTCGTTCAGAAGTACAGCCTTGAAAAGGAAGGAAGCACATTCTCTGCTTTTGCTTGCCCATTTTCTGCTGGTCTGTAAGATCTGAAGCTTATGACTTGGACCCTTTTGGAACTTCTTAACTTAGACTGGCATGTGTGATATATATAGCATACCAGTGTGGTATTGTAAAGTATCAAGACATATCTCAAAATTTTTATGCTTCAGTATACCATTTCATCCGCTAAGACCTAGGCACTCGCAACATTGGTTCATGTATTTCACGTTTCTCTCCGAACGAAGGAAAACATGGTTTTATGTTTTACGACTTGCTTGCCAGAGGTTGGAAGGGAAAATTCCAGTTTTTGAAAATACCATGCGCAAAAAGTACCTTGAAGGAGCCTAATTCCACAACGAGGCCTTTTCAGTTTTTACATTGAAATCGTTCGTTTACCCGTAATTGCGCGAGTCTCCTATTGGGAATGTTCGCCTCAGTTTTGCTTCAAATTTACTATGATCGAGGTTCTTCAGTCGATTGGTGGCTCACTATTTATCGAGTTTGAACGGTTTCGAAGCTTCTCTTCTACATGTCTGAGCTGCTTGGTAATTTGTGCAAAATGTACTGTTCTGTGACTAATTTTAAATCATTTGAATTGAATTGCGAAATGCGCTTATGAACATCTCATTCTGAACATTTTGAACAAGCCCCTGTGAATTTGCTATGAAATGATTTGGCAGGACTATAATCGATTTTGCCACCGTTGTTCTGCGCCCGCTACTCCAACTTATTTCGACCTCACAAAAAGTTTTTTTTCCCTGTGTCACTTCAAACTGTAAAAACACATAATCCTTTCGAATTTTCCACCAATTAGGTAAGGTAATCCGCTCGAAAATACTTACTTCAACAGATATAGCAGATCTATTGAGGCTTTCGGCTGCTTTTCTATCTTTTGAGCGCATGTTTCTTCAGCTTGTGATATATCATGAAATATAGAAAACGAAATATTTCCTCTTTGCTTACGCTACAGACAAGCTTGTTGATCATCTCTGATTTGAAAATTTTTTGGTCCTACTTTAGCATTTCTTAGGTTGCTCTTGCTGACAGGACTGGCAAAGCAGTTGCTATCGACGTGCTCGATAACAACGACGGTTCATTCACGGTGAAGTACACAGCTCCAAGGCCAGGAGCCTATCAGGTGAATGTAAATCCGTTCTATTATATGTTCACACGTTGGTCTCGTACGCCCTGTTGCACGAATGCCTATTATTATAGATCGTTGTGAAAAGTTTTGCTAGCTTTTTTATGTTAGTCGTTGAATATTGCTCGTTTGTCATTTGTGTTAATGTTTTTCTACGATCCATAAAAGCTTATGGAAGTGTTAGTGATTGTACATTTTCAGCTCAACGTCGTATTTGCCGGCGCTCGAGTGCCACCAATAGAAATCAACGTGGAGCCGCAAGTGGACACGTCTGGCATCAGGGTCACTGGCCTTGAAAATGGTGAGTCAGGTTGATGGAAAATTTTATGAAATGGGTGCTAACTCATACGTCGTACCTGACCACACAACAGTGGGCGAAATTGTGGTAGTTTACTCACCTGCAAAATAGCTGGTTTTGCTAAAGTGAGTAACAAATCTGCAGTCGCGGCTTTTGTTTTTGTTTTCTTTCATAATTTGAATTGTTTGCTGTGTGTCTCATCTCATTGTTTTATCCCTTTGTTATTTGGTATTTACATAATACACTCACTGCTCCATAGAGCTTCGAAATCAGAAAACTGCATTTGCTACAAACTTAGTCTTCAAAGTTAGACTCAGTTACAAATGGCCGGAAGTCCCTTTATGATTTTGTATTCAAGCCTTAACACTTGCGTATCTATACGAATCTTTTGCATGCTCATGAATTGAGCTTTGATGAGCCATATGGCAGCGCGCTTTTTGGAACACTTCCGAATAATCTTGAGTGCGAAAAGGAGTTCTCGCGTTCAGATCTTGCCGTCTGGCTTTACATTATTATTTCATTGTGTATGCCAAGTGAAGCTGAATAGTCGCTCGATACCGGTAGGGCCTTAATAATTAGTAACTAGTGTGTTTCCAAATTCTACAGCCTAAAATCTTGATAAAAAATATCACCCAAAGTTAAAGGTATTGGCTACGTAGTTGATTGCACTGAAAATTGCTATGGTGCATGCGAAGGGGATCGAATGCTTGCCAAAATTTGAGCAAAATTTTCTGGATTTCCAAAAAATCTATTAGTGTCTTAACGCGGGTCAGCTTATAAGGGGCTTTTCAGTATTCCTGGGGAATCCATAAATAGGTCGTTGAATTTTTGTGGACACGATTGGGAACTGAGATGAAAAGTTTGGGAGCGTTTGGTGGCAACTCAAGGGTCTCCAAATAATAACCAAAAATCCTTATGTTTTTGTCCGAATTAGATGGTGGTGTTGAGCGACTCGCTGTTGTGCATCATTAAGCTTTCGTTCGTACGCACGAACATGATGATGTTGATTGATTGTCCGATTCTGTATGTATTTTGAGGCCAAGCGGTGAAATTATCGCACCGAAGATACATTAGCAGTGAATAATAGTAGTCGCTGGAAAATTTGGGCTTTGAACAAGATTGTAAAAGAGGAATTTCTCAAGTTACATGTAGAGTATCTCCTTGAGAATTTCATTTTTAAAACGAATTTTGTGTACCTTTTACAGCAGCCTTTCCATCTGGCTTGAGATCTATCGGAAGTAAAAATTAAGCTTTGATTTCAACAATCCTGCCATCCACGCGTCACTCTCCCAGTATCTCTTTGTCTACTTTCACAGTATGGGATTAACTGCTTGGAGGGAAGGCCAGTCGACCCGTTCGCTTTATGCCTACAAGTGCAAGGACGGTTAAATAGAGCGTTAAGCTCTGCTAATTGTAGATTATCCCTGCCACATTTTAGAGTTGTAATGCAACAATAATTTGAAGAGCTTGTCATGATAGACCTTTTGCTCTTTTTTCGTAGTGCTGCAATGGTATCGCAAGTGATTGATCTTGTATACTCAAGGTGAGCAGTAAAAACTTATAAACCGACTCTTCACGTGCAGAGGAGTTTTGAAATTGGGAAGCCGCATTAATAACCGAATAATAAGTGCAGCGTATTATTTTTGTTGGGCTTTCAGTCTCATAGTTAGGTTATCGAGATTTAGAGATGTATGACTTACCTTCCATTTTGCAAATCAGATTTGCGACGCATATTGCAGTGGGAAAATTGCTATCATCTTTTTCCAAAAATAATCCACATTAGCCCTGCAAATTGTGCAAGTATTATTGCTTTTTCATATGTACGAAATATGAAATGGGCTATCCATTCCGTCTGCGGGCGTTGATGACGCTGTGCAAGCTCTTACAGGATCCTGATATAACAGAAAGTGACACCAATTATTGCTGTGTATGGTGCTGTATTATTATTGTTTTTGTAGTTCAAGCATGTGCACAGAGGTCCATGCAGTGCAGCTTTTTATGGCCACTATGTGAAGGATAATAAGAAAAGTACAGGATTTGGATCTTCCATTATTTTCTTTATGTTTTTCGCTGACTTTTTTTTTTACTAACCGGTGCTGTGTTAAAATGTGAGCGATAGCTGGTTCCGGTGTCGTGACTCGTGCCTAAGGGCCAAACCGCTAACCGTCTTCTCGAGTCTCGGTTTCTGGGACCATCTTTCGACGAGCAGTGTGATTTGTCGTGTACAACAGAATACTTTTCGAGCGCAAGGAAGTATAAGTAACAAGCCCGATTTTAGCCATCGTCACGGTGAACTGCGAGCAAGAAGTACACGTATTTACACCAGATGGAGACAACACTCGCATTGTGATAACTAGTCCCTCGGGAAGCATCGTGGAAGCACTGATCGAATCTACCGATACCGGATTGCGTGTTTCTTTCACACCGTCCGAAATTGGCGATTACAGCATATCCGTCACCTATCAAGATCTACCCGTTGGCGGACCTTACCTGCTCCACTCAGTGCCAGATGGAAACACAGCTGAGGCGGAGTATGTGGTGGCAAGGAGTGGTCCACCTCGTGCAGATCTGGTGACAGTGACGGGACCTGGACTGGGTCCTGTGATCGCTCAGCGCTCAACTCACGTCTTCATTGATACAACGTCCGCAGGATTCGGTGATATAGATCTTTTCGTCGATGGACCAACAAGAACACCTATTCACTGCGTTGATAATCACGATGGAACTCTGACGATGTACTATGTGCCAAAAACTCCCGGAGTTTACTATCTACGAGTGATGTTTGATAGTAATCATATTTCTGGAAGTCCCTTCCAAGTACTGGCCGTACCGGCTATGCTAGCCTCGTCATTGACTGCTGATCATGAAAAAACCGAAAGCTCATTTACCTCGCTTTCTAGCGGATCGTCTACTCCAAAAACTACCCCTTGTGTTTAGCAGATGTCGTCAACTGATGGTTTTCGCATTGATCTCATGTAGTTATGAAAACATTCTTATATGATGTCGAAGAATAAAAATTGACCTGAATTCGGCGAGCCATCTACTAGATCCATCGTCATGCAAATTTCCTTCAGAAGAGACAGTCTTCACGAATTCTTAAGCTCATATCATGCATTTCGCATGCTACTTCCGCCATCTATAGTGGTAACTAGCTGGCAAACCCGGCTCCGCCCGGCCCTGTCATTATTATATTCGTAATCAGCATGCTCGATTACCCCCCTGTGCTAACTCCCAGCCCCGTAGCTCAAATTTTGCAAAAAATCGATAAAATCGATATCGATCAATAACGAAAAGTAGGCTATGACACGCTCCCTGCCCCGAAGTATATGTGTGCCAACTTTGGTCCCGATCGGTTCAGAAATAAAAATTTCTATTCCGCACATACGTACAGACAGACATACATACAGACATTCAGCTTTATATATAAGACTAGCTGGCAAACCCGGCTCCGCCCGGCCCTGTCATTATTATATTCGTAATCAGCATGCTCGATTACCCCCTGTGCCAACTCCCAGCCCCGTAGCTCAAATTTTGCAAAAAATCGATAAAATCGATATCGATCGATAACGAAAAGTAGCCTATGACACGCTCCCTGCCCCGAAGTATATGTGTGCCAAGTTTGGTCCCGATCGGTTCAGAAATAAAAATTTCTATTCCGCACATACGTACAGACATACAGACATACATACAGACAGACATTCAGCTTTATATATAAGATTGTTTGTGCAATTCTAGCAGTCTTCTCAAGATACCTATACATATTAATGTACTTTTTGCTATTAAAATGCTTTGCAAATTGAGTTTTTTGTTCAAATATTACTAAATAAGTTTTAAAGTAAAATTTGCGCTTAAGAGCGTGCTCAGCTTTGCACAGACCACAGATCACAGATCTGTCAGCGAGACCATCCCTTGTAGATAAGTCCCCAGAAGCTTGGACATTCAACTTCAAAAACTTACTTTAAAAAATTGTAGCTTACCATAAACCAACAAAACATAGATCGTACTTTGGATCAAAAGCTTTTCGAGAGTATATGAAAAGGTGGCATTGCCTAGATTTTAGTGCACGAAGGGGTTCGAAAATGCCGCTTCAGCAATCGTACAGTATACCAACGAGTTTCGAATCGTTAAAAGAGCTCTTCAGGAGCTTCTAGATGGTTTACAAGAAGCCCCTATTCGCGATATCGCACATATGATCTCAAGTAAAAAATCCAAGTTTTGAAATGCGGACCTCTCCACAAGACCGCAGGGTACTAGTGCTCACATATAAATACCGACCAAACGCTCGCTTATGCTCAGGACTCAAGTTTCTCATATGCGGTGGACTGCGTTCAATCTTGATGGTTCTATACAAAAATCAAATGTTGTGGAGCATAAATTTTGTGATTAGTCCTTGAAATGGGCAAAACTGTTTTCTGGTAAAAAAAGTTTGCTGTGACAGAGCAGTCCAGTTTTTGAAATAGTATGCTCTAGAAATTTTTGACTTGTTAGAGAAGCTCAGGACTAGATTGCAGACTTTGTGTGAATATGCGGAGCATAGCTCAAGCACGTTATGCAAATCCGTGTTTCATTACGTCATCGCCAGTTCGTCCCTGGTCTAACATAAGTTGAGAGCAGGCAAAAGTTTTGACTGGACTAGAAGGGAAAATTTATAGGGTGGCAAAATGTTGCATGTGCCTGAAACCATTTTTTACGAACACACTCAAAAACTCGGTTTCTGTAGTGGATGTGCGAGGGAGTAATCAAGCCTATAATGTTCCAAATTTTGGATCTGTTCGCAAAGTCGGCAATTTTCGTGAAAAATGACATCGCGAGACTCTATTCGACTCGTATGCATGAACTTCCCGCGTGAGATGGCCCCTTAGCAAAGAGCCCTACATTCTGAAGCTCTAAAGATGAGGATTCTACGTTTTTTTTTCACGAGAGACATACAATGTTGCGTTAGATAGCCGGTACAACATTGCGATGTTTTCGTCAACGGATTATCTCTGAAAAAACGGTGACTAGTCGCTGGGGATCATCGGGGTCCCAGAAAAAGCTGAAAACACGACCACAACACGCAACCCTGTTCAGTATGTTTATGGCAAAGGTTAATACAAACGCTTGAGGACGGATAGACAGCGTCAAAATAGATCTGTGAGGCTTCAGGATATAAAGCCTGAACTGCGCGTCCCTCCCTGGCGGGAATGTTCATGCATGCTGCCTCCCTAAGTTGGATGTCATTCGCAGTGACTTTCCATGCTTCTCCAGAGCCAGGGCTGCACCAGGTGGCTCTGGCAGTTTGCTGAAGACGATGTCCCCTTTGACTTCGCAACTAGATTACGATTCCTATGACACGCTCATGAAAGCGAAACATGAGTAACAAAGAACAATAGAACAGGATACAAACAATAATAAACAGAGGATAAAACCTTTATAATGTTTATATTCTCTGGGTTGGCGGCATGCTGCGTCCGCACCACCGCGCGCTTGGACAGGCTTGCCGCCGCATTCGAAATTTTCGGTGGGCTGTAGCTAGACGGGGAGGAAGAGGAGTGGGAGTTTCAAAAACTCGTTGCTAGGTTTTTAAATGTAGATCAAAACTATTTGAAAGTATGAAAGTATCATATATCATATGAACAGAAGTTTTTGACTTTGCTTTCCCTGAGAGGTGGCTCGAAAGCTATCTAATCCGAAAAAGGGGCTCCTACAACTTCATATAATTTTTTATAATTTTTCCGTACTTATTCCAACTCCCTATTGCGCATCTACACACCAGTCTCGGTGTCATACCACTTCCTCTTCGCCGTAAACAAGCGTTTTGCTCACTTCGGGCATATTTTTGAATTCCCGCGCTTGCATAGTGAGTGTGTTGGAGCGGGAAATTGTCGATTTTGCAGAATAGGGATCGTTAGAGCATAAGCACTCGCAACGTCCCCAGAGGATGAGGAGGTTGAATAAGGGGGACACATACAGAGGAAAGTGATTGTAGGGGATAAAAGTTGGGAGTATTTTTTGTTTGACTACTCATGAGACAATAGATGGGATGAGTGTTTTTTATTAGTGGGAGGAAGGCAAAATTTGTTGAGCTGGTGGGCGTGAAGTTGGCCAACTCTCCGAAGTTCTTTTGCTTAGTTAACTTGATTTGGAAGACCAATGTTAGGTTGCGCGTGATTAGCAAGTCTTCTGGAACGTTTTCCTGCTCCCCTACACTCGTTTTGAACGAAACGACTGACGATTTTTCCATATACGCCATACTAGCCTGATATATGCTTTTTCAATTCCGCCCCAGGCTTTGCAGTACGAATATCCCCTTTGCTTTTTACCCCTAAAACGATATCCACCCTGCTCTGTAAGCCACCTGCGACGAGTCTAAAATTCCCTGTCTGAAACTTCTGGTATGGTGAGCGTAATCAAGTGTACACGCAACTTTGATAAAAAACTAGCCAAAAGCCAAAATTGCGTGTCTTCCCCCCCCCCCCCTCTTTGGTGTGTACCAAGTGAATTAGGGTAGACGAAGTTGTGTGGAATATTTATTCACACTGGCCTAGATTAGTTGAGAGCGATCATCGAGATGTGGTGTGGACCGGGGAGCAACCTCTAATACATTCGGAGGCTCCTTATATACGAAGAAAGGCGGAGCCAAACCGAATACAAGGTACAAAGTATACGAGTTAATGTTCAAAAGGAGATGCCGCCGATTGGCTACACTCCTGGCGCACAGGTACCACTCACTGTTGAGTGATTAGATACTCACGAGTGAGTGGCTCACAATTTAGCCTACGGAGATTCCGTAGGCTATCTAGAATATAGAGTTCATCAATGGTTGATGATCAGAAATCATCAACACTCCGGGTGAGCGAGGGGAAAGTGAGATCTGGTAAGATCTTGAAAAGTGTAGATATATGTGAAATTGACTAGCGAATTTGTTAGTATCTAAGCATACAGATCAATCGACTATGAAGAAAGAGCTGCAAGTAATATCTAAACATTCATGCAAAAGTAAGATAGTTTACAATACATTAGCAATGGAAAAAGCTTCTGGTTGTTGGAACTGGATTGCGCTTTGGCGTTGCTCGTCGTTGTCGTCTTGTTCTTCTCTTTTGATTTGAATTGATAGTAGAAGCATTACTAACGATCAACTTTTCGATAGGCATCGTTCTGATAATGGTTGAACTTTTGGGATGTCGTCTCCATGATGCTTCCGTCATCCTTGTCACTGCTTGCTTCTCAGATAGGGCGATGTGGTACTCATTCCATTCGGAATCATCGCGGAATCGTCGGAAGAGTTAGTTAGGGAGCGGATTGTGTCCAGCCAACGTTGTCTGTCTGCTTGAGCTTCACTTAAGATGGACGCTCTAAGCGTCCGTCTCATTTTTCTGGATTGTCTTCCCGTAGATGAAGGAAACTGTTGTACCGTTGTTATGCAACCGAAAGTCCAAACGGATTTTGTTGTAGTGGTGGTGCGACTCGTCCCTGATATAACGTATCCGAAGATTGTTGGGGTCAAAATGAGCCCTGAGGGGAGCTTGAGTACTCTCCTATTGCGAAGGGTGACAAGATTTATGAGGTCTTGCCCGGTGATCAGGTCCGGTAAAATGCTTTTGTGGGAGAGAGTATCCTGAGCAATTATCAACTTTTCGTCATCGATGAAACGCAAGTCTACTTCCGTGAGAGTTGCTGTCTCCATGTCGGCTGTCAGCTTCTGCTTTGTATGCAATGACAACTTTTTAAGCTTCTTGGAGCTGTGAAGACTCTTCAAAGTGATGTGCACTTCAGATGAGTTGAACTGCTCTTGGTGTTCGCCCATTCCTGATGTAGTGAAAGAAGTAGTCCGAACGATTGGAAGCTTGAGTTCTTCACAGAGTCCTGATCTGATGAAGCTTCGTTGTGCCCCAGAGTCAAGGAGTATGGTCGTTGGTTGGTAATCCCACTCTGCTTCGTTGAATATCACTGCGGAAGCGATTTGAAAAA